ACCGTTCAATACCACCGCGTCGAGCGTTTCCTCCAGAACTTTGACAGACTTTGGCAACTTTCGCCGGAAAGACATTTGACTGAGCGAATCAAATCCCAAGAAATACACGTTCAATCCAGAGCCATCTGGACTTTTCACCGAGCCATGGTTGAGTAACTCTTGATCACTTCGTCGCACAACACTCATCAGTATGCCATTCCTAAAGAAGAAAACTCATCCCATAGAATGCGAATTGTTTCTCATTACCATATTTGCTCTCCGTCCTTGCACTTGACAACGGCAAAATCAGATTTCATGGGATTACCGGCTGGCAACGAGTCAAAAGCAGTATAGATATTGGTTTGATCACTTTTCCTTGTGACATATGAGCCTTGGCACTTTGCGTTCTTCCTTCAAAAAACCGAGTTAAGCTGTGGAAAACGAGAAAAAATATTAGGCTGCTCCATAAGCCTTGCACCAAAATTTCCGAAAAGTCGTAAGTATTTGCGCTTTTAACAAGTCGGTTGAATCCAAAATAGCTTACAAAGAGAAGATCAATCGATTTTTGGTAAAAATTGCTAAGTCCAAAGATTTTTATTTTATTTTCTGACTGATTGTGGTTAGAACGTGCCCTTTTCAACTACGAAAAATCTTTGGTAACTGCATGTTTCCGTAATAGCTATTATGAATTTCGGCTTTTTAACTTGAACGATTTTGTTCTGAATAACATTTTTTATATGCTTAGTTGAAAGAGCCTAAAATAAAACTTGAAAAGTAAATACATTTCAAGGAATTCCTACGTTCTTCAGTGCAAAACTTATGGACCACTCTAATCCAAAGCTATCAAAGAATAAGTACTGTTACCTGCTTTCTATATACTGCACATTGTTGCTATCATCGATAAAAAGCCAATTTTGAGGGTTTTTTAAGCAGTCAAGAGGCTTTGACTTGAAAAAGAAGTCTCTGACTTCCGAACCATTGATATCCAGTTTTGGTATCCGACATGTCTAAAAAAATTTTCATAGCTAACTTAAAGAAAACCTGTGATTGATTGGAAGTGGATTATGATGAAAAAGTTCTCACTTGTCCTTCTAAGTTGAAAGCGCCTGCAGCAGATGGCTTCTCTCCATTCTTTCTTGCATCTCTATCAGCATCTTGCCCAGTCACAATCACTTTGAAAGGAAGCTGCAACCAATATCATTGCAAAAAAAGAGCTGACCAAATATGTGAATCCCTACATCTGGTTCTGTGAAGCTGGGAATATTTGCGGGACGAGGCATAGTAGCAATTTTGACAGGCCTAGTATTTCCCTTGACGAGTGGTTTGCCATTGTTGTCATGAACATTGTAAGCGCTATAGATGAATATAAATGAGACTGTCACTATGGCTATGATTGCTACTTGTCGAATTCGAAATATTCCGATCATTATCCCCAACCCGCTGCACCGAGGCAAGTACCCTGAAAT